TGGGACCTCTCCATTGGTGATCCTCATCCACATGATGGCACTTTGTGTCATCGGGTGTTTATCGCTTGTGTGATGTCCTGATGGGGTAAAAAGTCAGTCAGTCAACAAGAATTATTATCTAGTTTCAACTATTGCTTTCATGATTTATCCCTTCAAACCATACTGTCAGTGGAATAATGTTCTTACAAGTTCACCCAAATACCTGCAGTAACATGCCCCGCTTGCAAACATATTAATGTTGTAGTAGCTTGACTCGTCATATGATGCATAGCTGTAATTTACCCTAAGGATGCCAGTAGGGACTCTACAATCCACCTTTAAATGCATCCCAGCCGTCCACGCCTTGAAGACTTAGCAGTGGGAAGAAATATAATACCTGCCTGTCCTTTCTATACATCCGTGGTTGTCATTTTGCTTCGAACAATACAAAGCGTGAAATGAACAACAAAAACACAAATTTCACACTCTTCCAAAAATGTTAATAGCAAATATTATCCCTTGCTTTGCCTTCACTTTTGCGTCTGGTACCCGCCTGTTTTAATCTTCTATTCGTCATTCATCATTTATTTAGAATCAATAAATAAAAGAGTGGAAACACAGGTAAAGTGCAAACTGAAAAAAATTCAAACTTTAAACGATCAGTGGGAAAAGCTGAAAAACTCCAGCCACCAAACAAGCAAAGAGCTTACCAGAAAGAAGAACATTAGCTAAACAGAAAAGCATAATTAAAAAAAGGTTAATGGTAATGGGTGAAAGAAAACAATTTGTGAATGACACAGAAGCATGCTAGTGAAGTTTTATATTTTGGGTTTTTTACTTACGAAATCATAACAGCTAGATAAAGATTAAAATTACAAATCCAATGGTACCTCATTTAAACCTGTAAGTGGAGATATTAACATTTTAGTGGCGGACACCACGACAGAAAAATTGTAGTGGAAATCTTTAAAACATGGCTTCCCGGCTGCGACCCAGTGAGATGAAATGACTCAATGTTTGATTTTACGGCCATTACTTTTTTTTTGTTTCTGAACGAATCCCTTAGCAACCTTATATTGCTAGAATCGGGACAGTGAGACCTAACCGTTTATGCATGTCTCAATTACATACACTACGATATGCGCCTATTTAACATATGAAATCGTCTGCAGGCTGATTATTTTTCATCTAAAACCTTATATATTTACAGTTGTCTGCCAACGAGCCTGGCTTAATACATATCATATTGTGTGTCCTGGCAAGGCGTACATAAAGATCATATAAATGTGCCAATGTCAGTTGACGTGACCTAATTAACAAATACCGGACACCCCCCCCCCCCCGGTAACAGCGATGTCACCCAGGGTGGTCGTATCTCAGCACAGAAATGACCCCCGGGGTGGTTGCACACCCCCCCCCCCCACAGTGATGATACCGGGATGGCCGCACCCCCTTCCTGGTACCTTATTCCCCTGGTATCTCTCCTCTTCTTTCTTTTTTTCCCTTTCCTTCCTTTTTCCCCATGTCTCAGTGTCGACTTTCTTTTCTTAGTCTCTTTTTTTGTTGCTTCCTCTCTCCTCCTCCTGCTCCCCCTCTTTCTCAACTTTCTCTTAATCTTCCAGTCCCCCTCCCCCAACTCTCCGTTCTGTATGGTAGAAGAAAACATGAGCCTGTTTTCATAATGGGTCGGTGACAGTGTTAACAACAGGGCTAACACAACAGGTGTGTTCATTTCTGGGAATCAGGTCAGGTAGGATTTTCTTTTCTTTCAAAAATGACCTTGGCTTCCATGTCCACCCAGCATTGAATGTAAGAAATGGATCTATAGCAGCCACACGCGGACAACCAAGCATGGGAGGGTTGCCAATGGGATTTGTGTCAAACCCGAAGCTAAGCTTAAGTCACGGAGTGAATCAACCAAACCCTGCACAGCAGACTCGTCGTGACGTTGACGCCCCTAGCGGGCAGGTCACATTTCAAATTTAAACCCGCCCGGTGGATATATGGTCCTTCTTATTGATATATACCTCTATTTGGTTAAATAGATATTTCTATACCCTCTAGTTGTTTTGAAAAGTCTACATTTTCAAACTTGCAACTGTGGGATAGATATTTTCTGGAATAATATTTCGAATTCCTGGAAACCTTTTTACACCTTGGTGCACTAATACAGGACTTTTTTTCTAGAGACGCCAAGCAAGATCAGGCGGGGTCATTTTTTGCCTGACTTCCTAGGTGTGCAGAAGTATGTCACCTCTCTGATTAAATATTGGCGCCTTTAAAATACCAGTTTAATCTTTGAAGGATTCCTAAGCTGATTATAGTTTACGAGTACCATGATATATCTCTCTATAAAGTTAGCCGCTGCTGCAGGGAGGAAAGATTCAGCTGTGTGACCGCACAGAACTAGGCGCCGTTCTTGGTGTCCAGACACTCAGGCCCCTGAAATCAAACCTTTCCCTTAGCAGGCTAATAGTTTGTGCCCTTCCTGACCCACACCATTATAAATATATAAAACTCAGCAAGTTAATTATTCTTTAACCAGCCGACAGAGTTTGTGTCGATTAGCGGACATATTTAACTGGGTCACACTTCAGCCAGCTAGGCACTGGGACGTCATAGGTCTTTTTTAGCACAACAACACTGGGTGTGGAGTGGGCAGAATGTGGATGTATAATATATATATATATATATATATATATATATATATATATATATATATATATATATATATATATGAGAAAGAGAGAGAGATGGGATTAATATCTATAAGTGCAGACGTGGGCGAGGAGAGTTGATGTTCTATGTTTGATAGAGTCTGTCTGTCTCCACTCTGGTACTTGTCTCTTGTCCCTGTTACTGACTTAACAACAGAGATGATATTTAGAGACTTATACTGTCTCATTATCCTGAGAGCTGTCGTCTGAATGATTACTAATGTGGATGTTAATAAACTGAGCTTGACATGTAACCCCTGAGATGACTGATAATTCTGAGTTTCTTCTTGATACAGGATGTTGGTTCTTAAGGAGAAATCCTTAAATCAGGCACGCGACACGAGCGGTATGTGACAGCTTACCAAAAACCCGAGCAAAATAAAGGGGAAAAAATTGATAAATAGTACATATTTTATAGTTAATTTTATAGTTAAGAAATGTAACATTTACCCACTTTTATATAAGGATTTTTATCTTTAAAAAAAAAAGAAAAAGATTCAAATATCTTAACCCAAGGTGTCGTAAAAAAAAATCAGTTCTTAGGGGAAAGCCAATGTACTGGCAGGCCTGATGGACGGAAACGCTGTCAGCGCCGATGTTGTTTCTCGACCACTTAGATTTACCAATTCCGACAGAAAATTCCGTGGATTCTAAATAATAACAGACGAAAAAAAAAAATTTCTGCAAGAATTGTAGATGTTTAAAAAGTAGCTCACTTAACATTATTAATTTACTAAGTATCTGAAGTTAATTACTAAAGAATCATCGTAGAAAATGCGCAATGATGGCCGAAATTAATTATTGGGATTTGGAGGTGATCAGAAAAAAAAAAAAAATCCAACAGAGAATACGAAAGGCTCTAAATAATGACAGATGCTTGAACAAATGCTACAATGGTTGTGAATTTTAAAAAAAAAATTATTAAAATAACGTTAGCTAATTTAATAATTACTTTAAGTTAATTATAAAGCGGGAAAAACGGTCTCCTAGTGCAAAAATATTGGATTTAAAGCAAAAACAGTGATGCCACTAAATTTTTTTTTAAACATGTGCTGTATTGCTAATCTTTGTGAAATTTCTCACACTTATTTAAAAATTAACGCAGCATTTAAAAATACAACACACAATGCGGTAATCTGGCTAATTAAAAAGATATTTACGAAATTATTTACCGCTATTGGATTTAAAGCAAAAACAGTGATGCAACTAAACGATTTTTTTAAACATGTGCTGTATTGCCAATCTTTGTGAAATTTCCCACTTATTTAAAAATTAACGCAGAACTCAAAAATACAACACACATTGCGGTAATCTGGCTAATTAAGAAGATATTTACGAAATTACTTACCGCTATTGGATTTAAAGCGAAAACAGTGATACCACTAAACAATTTTTTTAAACATGTGCTGTATTGCCAATCTCTGTGAAATTTCCCACACTTATATAAAAATTAACGCAGAATTCAAAAATACAACACACATTGCGGTAATCTAGCTAATTAAGAAGATATTTACGAAATTACTTACCGTTATTGGATTTAAAGCGAAAACAGTGATGCCACTAAAAATATTTTTTAAAACATGTGCTTCATTGCTAATCTTTGTGAAATTTCCCACACTTATATAAAAATTAACGCAGAATTCAAAAATACAACACACACTGCGGTAATCTGGCTAATTAAGAAGATATATACAAAATTAATTACCGGTAATTCACTGTGTGCTGCCAAAAAAATCGATTTATTTTATAAGCGTCAAGACCACTTCAGGTCAAAGCCTGGCATCTCTCCAATAACTCCTAATAACTGTTCCGATTTTATCTTTCACGTAAAGAGCACAGAAAAATAATTTCTCAATAACGGACAATTCGTTTTGCATTTTCGGGTCGCAGTCGCGTCTATAGATACCGACGAAAATGTATAGCAAAATAAACAAAACAAAACGACCCATTGCTATACCTTTTAGAAAAATATGACACGATTTAAAAAAGAAACAAGGTAAAAGTATATAAAGGCAAAAGAAAATGGCTAAATGAACAATGCAATAAAATTTAACAACACAGTCCTATAAAAGATGTAAAAATGTGTGTCCACACAAATTAGCCATTACACATATGAAAAAGGAAAAGTAAACCAGGTTAGGTGAAATTTCAGTAGAAGAATTAGAGGTACTGGGGGAATTTTGGGTAGAAATATTAAGTAAACTGTTAAAACACAGGGTACATACCAAGAGATTTATGAAATCTGTATTTTTTGCGTTACCCAAAAGACTAGGTGCAATTAAAAGTGAAGAATTTCGTAAAACAAATCATGTCACCAAATTACTACTTAGAATTATAAGGAAAAGAAAAAGAACTTAAAAAAAAAATTGAAATGGGTTAAGAGCAGTATTGATCTGTGGAAAGTAAAGAGATTAATATACATTTTAAGAACACTGATAGAAAAGATAAATGGACATACAAAAGGACCTTATATTCGTGCTTTATAGATTATACGAAAGCATTTGACAAAGTTAAAAATGAAGGGATGATAGAAATGTTGGAAGACATCAATGTAGACGGAAAAGATCTCAGAATAATTTAACACTTTTACTGGAACCAAGTTGCAGCAAATTAAAGTGGGAAACAGATTAGGTACTTTTATACAGATGAAGCAAGAAGTAAGAAAGGGATGTGTCTTATCCCCAAACCTTTTCTCTCTATGTTAAAGAGAAAGCAGGAATAGGAGTTGGAGGATACAATGGAAACGATATGCGTTATGCTGACAACACAGTTTTGAAAACTAAAAACGCAACTGATTTACAACTTCTGGTCATTGTGTTGATTGAGAGTGCTACGAAAGGACTTTCCTTGAATGTGAAGAAAACGAAAGTATTGGTTACATAAAAGAAAAAGATAACAGCACACTGTGATATCTCAATGGGAGAAAATAAGGACCTAACTAAGTAAATAAATTTAAATATCTGGGAACAGTCATATTATCAGAGTGAAAATGTGTGACGGATTACAAGCAGAATAGGTCAAGCTAATACAGCATTTCAAATAAATAAAAATATCTTATGCAATCAGACGCTTAGATGTTCTCATTTATTGTCAGAAGGAGAGAACTAAAAGTTAACATAGAACCTGTTCTGCTGTATGGCAGCGAATCTTGGAATGTCATAGAACACATTAAAAAGAATTTGGAAGCATGAGAAATGTGGTTTCTGAGACGAATGTTGTGAATATCTTATACGTCCAGAGTAACTAACAACGATTGTTTGAAAGAAGCCAGTGAAAGTAGATCACTTTATACAATAATAAGACAGAGACAAACATTGTTTTTCACCCACGTAATGAGAAAAGAGGCATTGGGAAACATCGGAACAACTGGAGAGATCAGTGGAAAGAGGGGTAGAGGTAGACTAAGAGGTGGTCCTGGATGAGCTGAAACGATGGCATGGAGGGATATCATCTTGACAGCTGTTCCAGGCAACCAGGGATCATGATCTGCGGAGATGCATGAGCGCCTACGCCAGTTGGCAGTGCATATGATAATGATTCTTCTTTCGACTTTATTTGGAACACCATTTTCCCACGTACATTGTTACGATGTAATTCATTTGGATAATGTTACTTCTATAACGACTTCCTAGAAAGACTCTGCTGCCTTGTTTTTTTTTTTTTAAATGCGCGGCGGTCTTTAATGTGGTGTGCTCACATTCGTGTTGACCAACGGTCAACATCAACCTGTTCTTTGAAGAAATTTGTTTTCCATAGATGTTTTCCCAACCCACGGCGTCACTGGACGGATTTCAAATATTTGATACCATGGCTCTACCCTGCCTCAAAAATGTGTACCAGGACATGTTCCTGAGAAACAAAGGCGGCCAACCTGGTGTCTACCACAAACCAAGTCTGATTGTTCTATAAATGATATGGGCCTAATGCCGTAAGCCTGATACGCCAGTGATGTGAAAAAGGACCATGAACCTAATATATGGATATATAATTACTGGTGAACCTACTGTGTGGATATAGAATTACTGGTGAACCTACTATGTGGATATAGAATTACTAGTGAACCTACTGTGTTGATATAGAATAACTGGTGAATCTACTATGTGGATATAGAATTACTGGTGAACCTACTATGTGGATATAGAATTACTGGGGAACCTACTATGTGGATATAGAATTCATGTTGATCTCACCGGTATGGAATAATTATTGCTGTGTTCTCTTTAGGTCTGCACTTGGATGGAGTAAACCAACCTCCCATTTCAAGTTCCGGAAACATGGAAACTAGCTCCTGGCGCGTTTTCTTCTGGATTGTGGGTTTCAATCTGCCAGCTGTGAAATACAATGCTATGTATAGATATACTACATCTAATATCAGTTCTGATGAAACAGAACACGTGAAGATACATCACATAAAAATTATATTTATTCTGGCTAACAGTGTTACCAGTGTCAAACATGACACTTTCATCACACTAGGAAGCGGAAAATCACCGACAAATAAATACGAAGAGCAGCACTTAAAAAGAAGATGTAACAGTTATAAGAGGGACACACATAAATTACGTTAAGATCAGGGCTGGGTGAGAGGCGTATTGAGTTATTCAAGAGCAACAAATAAGATGGTTTGGTCATCTAGTAAGAATGGCTTTATAGCCCATTGGCACCTGCGTTTTTGATGAGATGGAGGCAGTGTAGAATTTGTGGAATAACAAAAGCAACATCACCCCTAAATGAGAGCCAAATGTTCCAAAATCTTCCACCAAGTGACAAGCAGAGATTTCAACGTAAACAAAAATTTTTTTTTTTAAATATTAAAACACTGTTGCTTCTTCTTCCTCACGTTCACTGGCTGTAAACTCCAGCGGAACATTTATGGTTGTCCGTCCACATCTGGACTTTATTAGTTCGTTCCATAGGCTGAGAGTTTGGTGCACATCGGTTTTACAGATTTGACTTATGTATGTAGGCATAATGTTGGTTCCTTGCCTCTCAGGCAGATGCCCTCCAACCTCTTATACCTATTACTATTGTACTGGAAGCTCCATACACATTTATGCGCGAGGAGAGGGGGGGGGGTGTCGGGGGAGGGGGGGGGGGTGTATAGCCTTTATTTTTCTGAGCTCTCATATTCTAGCGTTCCTGATTGCAACTAGACTCAAGTGAGCCCATAAGTAATCCAAATTAGTTGTGTTCAATGTACAACGATAGGCAGACGATCACAAAGCAGTGGAATGATTAAAGTCATCTTCATCATAGTATCAACATCATCACCCTCATCATCGTCAGATGCCTTGCTGACTGGCGTGAACGATCATGCCTCTTCACAACCAGCTAATGTGAGAAATTTGAAGAAAATTGCAATTTTGGTTCGGTCATGTTAAGAGAAAACAATCAAAACCTCTGTGACAAAAAGTAAACGCGACTGTAAAGACCAAACGGAAGGCACTATAGTAAATATATTACTTCATCGAAGCCTCTAAGAACACAGAGTCAATCTGAAAGCTTGGTAGTCATGTAAGACGGCAAACCGTCTCCACATATGCCTGTACACCTGGCATGATCATTCAAGCAACGTCAAGTAAACCGTCGTGTCTACTGAGTAAGAGCCAAGTGAAATAAGGGTTATTTTTACAAGCCAATGGGGCAGCTGTTATTTTAGGCTCGACTATACTTCTTCTTCTTCTTTGCGTTCACCAGCTGTACACTCTGGAGGAAAGTTTTAGTTGCTTGTCCACTACTGAACTGCAGTCCTGCTCCAGGTCCTGACTGTTGCGTGTGCATCAGTTTTACACATCTCATTCTCTTGAATACAGACTGTTGGTTCCTTGCCTCTCCGGCAGATGTACTCCGACATCAAAGGAAGCTCCCCAATTAGTCAACTCTTACGACATGCTTTTGGGGAGGCAGTGGGTATATTCTTGTTTCAGCCACAATGGGGCCCCGGAACACACACGGGGAGTTCGACTATTATGGTTACAGATCAGTCGACTCTCTATGGATTGTGTGGTCAACATCACGTGGGATGCCGCCATTACTTAATAGGACTTTATCTGGTACCAGTTTAAGGCTGGTTTGACCTAGGAGCCAATGGCACAGCTGAAAAAAGTCCGGCTCCAGGTGAATTTAAACCCACGACCTTCGAGTCCGCAAGCTAACATCTAGCGTCTTCGTTAGGATAGTCCCAAGTCTACTGAATAGTGCTGACAGTTGGGTACCAGTGATGGTGCTCTCTAATGATTGAATAAACACGGCTGTGTCATTATAGCTTCTGCAAGTAAACATTTGCGGTCCAGTGGTTCTGAAAGCAGTCCCACAGTTCCGCAACACTCCTTCCATTTAGCTCAGGCGATTTGGTCACAGACTCTTTAGTAGTTATTGCAATAGTGGGATCAGCCTTGGACACAATGGACAACTGCTAGATGTAAGTGCACAGTAAAAAAAAAAAAATTAAAGTTGCATGTCTTTTTCATTTTCAGGACGTTGCAGAACCAACACAAGTTTCTGTTGCTGTTTGTGATTTCACTAGGCAATTTTATGTTCCGATTTTTGTCACTGCACTCAACAAACGGTTCTCAATGCCACTGTCAAGCCAACGCAAGGCGGTGTGCAAAACAGCATATACCGAAACAAAAACATTTCAGAGACATAAACACAAAGACAGACACAAATAAACCGACGGATTGATTATAGATTATAGATGAAAAAAACAAAAACATGAACAGATACCGACATGAGTTTAGACAAACACAGGCAAATTTCAAATAAAGACAGGCTTGTCCAACAGACAAAATACTTGCGTATTCACAGACACACAGAGGTACAGCATATTCGCAATATAAATACTACTTACTTAGATTGTTTGCATAATTGACACATGACACCAGTGTATTTAAAACAGCTGGATGTAGGTTTTGACTTGTTTGTTGTGAGTTTCTTCCATCAGTCCTGTTTTCTAAGGACCCGTGGAATGGTTTTGATGATACAATTGCTTTTGCGATGTCCGGTTTCTTTGCCTGACCAGATATCGAGTTGTTCATCTGTCTTGATGAAGGTAGACTCGAAGACGAGGCTTTGTATGCTGTGTGAGGTTTCCTTGATGTGTATGCGAAAGATGCGTTAGTTTGAACATGAAAACTGCGTTGGGGTTTCGACAGTCGTTTATCTCTACGTGGCCAAGCCGAGTTATTTTCTGTTTCTGTGCTATGAGTGTTGTCTTTGTACAGTTGACTAGTGACATGTTTGCTGAATACCACTCGGTAGTTTTCTGAAAGCTCCTGTAAATCCACTGATTCATTGTTATACATCAAAACAGCATTAATATAACTGTGTCGTAAATGAACACCATTTCCCCTGAACACTTGGAGAATTTTAATCAGATCATCCAGTATAATGGTGGTCTCTAATCCCAGCTTACTGGCATTTGTGATCATTTTGTTGAGTTCAGATGAAGTACTAGGGCTTTGATTGTTTTTGTTGGGCAGGTGGTGAAGATTATGTTGACAGTCTAAAATAATGGTGACACCGAAGACACATACAGCGATCAGGTTGGAACAAGCAACAGCAACGATGATTATGTAACAGACTACAGCCGTGGGTGCTCCCCTACCTAAAACCCATTGAACAGTGTTCAAAATGCCTGTAAATAAAAAAATTGAGCACATTTTATTGTCTGTCTGTCTGTCTGTCTGTCGGTCGGTTTGTCTGTCTGCCAAAATATTACACCAAAATTTTATGAAGGGTCTCTCTATTAACACCAGATTCATCTGCCATCATCCACACAATTAAACAACGATCTTCTTGTATCTGCTCTGTGACTTTTGCAATGAGTTCATCATTACAAACAAAAATCTGGTGACCAGGTCTAGTTACATTAGTAATCATTTCTACACAACTTTCGAATAGTGAATACCACCTGAAAATCTGTTCACCAGATAAACAATTATCTCAATAAACTTGTAGCATCAATTCACCTGTCTCAGTGGCGCTTTTTCTGACTTTTAAACATCATTTAATGTTAGCTTTTTCTACTCCATGCAGATTTTGTAACAATGCACATCTAACTAGATAAATAAAATGGCTGCTTGTGTGTCGTCTGTTAATCAGGCAGCGATGGAAAGTTACCAGATCATAGATGAAGGTTGCCTCTTTAGATTCCATGCTTTGCTTCATAGATGGCTCTTTGTCTTGGCCGTAATAAAATCAGTCTTATTACTCAATTGTCGGGCCTTGTATTTAGTAAAATTTGCCTATAAGTAAAATGTCCATTGTAATGAATGTACTTGTGTCTCCTCCACACTTGATCTCTCTAGTGCAGATTCAACACTGACTCTGTTGTCTAGGTATCAGGTCACAGCTCATTCTAACCAGACGGCATTTCTCTCCATGGCCACACAACCTCAAACGACGGTCGACACCAGCTGACACATTTCACAGGTTTATTATCACTGTAGCACAAGACACGAATCAACAGAAGAACCAACTTACACCATTCGGGCAATCTCGCCTTGCTCACGCATTTAGGCTCCAGACATGCTTCAGACAATGGACACTGGCATATTCAAGGCTGGCTCAACAATCAAACTGTGTAACACAACAGCTGGCCTTCACGATCATTCATTCGACTCTGATTCAGATCCACGTGCTCTCTTCATTCTGCATTCATCTTCACAGATTCAGTTACACATCCTTCCAGTCTGGGGCCCAGTCACCCAATGACCACCTCATTTTCAATCCCCCAGATCTCGCATTCACACGTGACTCACTCTCTCTTGTCGTTTCACCATATCTCGGTGAAACCCATGCTCTCAGGGACTTACCCAATTATGCCAGTCATCCCCTGACGTTATCCCTATTTATAGCATTATTACATCCATTCTTTCTGTCTTTTTCGTTGAAAGTGTGGAATTCTTTTTTTTTTAAATATATATATATATATATATATATATATATATATATATATATATATATATATATATATATATATATATCATGAGAGAAAACAAAAAGCTAAGAGACAAGAGCTGACACATTACAAAAGAAAAGAAAAAATTTAAAACAAAAACAAAAAAAAAATTGAAGAAATTTACCTGATCGGTGACGCCGCATGATGTCTTGACTAGAGGAAAGATGCGTGAATTCTTTGATCTAGAGTGTTGATTTTTGTTAATTCTTGCGTACAGCACAAAATTTCATGAATATTGCAGCAGGCAGGCTCTTTGTATTCCCATTCATTTTTCTGAAAAAGAAACAAAATTGGCCCTAACATAAGAAGAATGAATTTATAGACTGGGATCGGCGAGATAAAGAACAAAACGATGTCAAATTACAGGTCACAGTTCTCAGTTTATAGCTCATTCACAGCGATGGTGGGCAACTGTGTGTGTGTGCATGGACCAGATTTAGAATGACCAACAATGACACAAGCTATACAGAAAAATAATCCATTCAAAACATAACATGCAGATTTTCTCGTAACAAGTTTTTTTTAGAAAATCTAAAATTTGTTATTTATACGAAGGTCTCCCCATTTACACACCAACGGTTGTAGGGCAATTCCATTGATAAGTTGGTTAGACTAATCTACCGTGGTCGAGGTTATGGGTGTCGCAGTTTGTTGTCGTCTTGCATTTCATTTTTGATTTCCGAAATAGGTTTTGTCACTCTTTAGGGGAGTTGTGTGTTAGACCCAGTATCTAAATGTTTTAAAAGTGTTAAAAGATCTTGCATGGTGAAATATACAAGACGTGGTATCAGGGAGGGAGTGAAATATCCCCGTGACCGTGTTTGAAAGTCGTATCGCTCGAAGCCTACCTATCAGAGGTGAGGCGGTCAGTAGGTCGTCTAATCAGAAGCGAGCTAATGTTTAGCGATGTATAAATGGAGAGACAAGCGTAAAATTTAACCTAAGATTATAATCCCTCGCATCTCGTCTAGCCAGGCACATTCACGCACTTATGCACCTTTATGAATTCCTAAATGTGTAAAAAAAAAAAAAAAAACGTTGTCGTCCTATATTTGATTATCAAGTCGCCGTCTGACACTGTCTTCCAATGTCTGTTCAAAGCTCGGGTTTCACCTGAAGGATCAAAATATGGCAATGATGCGAAATGTCCTTGTTTTGTTGCTGGTATTTAGATGTGCATTTTCCCCCCTGCTATTTTGTGAATTCAAGGATCAGATTAAATACTAATTCAACAGTAAAAATTGATCAGGAGGCCAAGTTTGACCCTGTTTGCCCACACTGATTGAAAGCCATATACCTGGTGCTGTTTAAACGGTAACAGTTAGTTGCAAATCTTCGACAGCAGTCCACCACACTTGAACGATACGAGACTTCGTTACCCGATTGTAAGACCTGAACGAGGTTTCTTGGATTGTTTCCTGTTGATTTGCATTTGATAAAGTTGATCGGTATGAATGTATTGAGCTCAGTCTCTCTGCAAAACAGGTAGTCAACTGCCGAGAGAGTGGCGCGAAGCAAATGTCTGGACCACTTCACCATGGAGACAACCAGGGGATTTGTAAAACAAGGACAAATGTTGATTTTGAGGAGACAAGGAATCACGAAGATACAATCTAAATTAGTATAGGGTAGGCAACACAGACAGAACAAATGGTAATATAATAGCTTAACTATAAAGTACATTAACAGGAGCAAACAAAGGGCAACATTTAAAGAGATACATAATCACAATTGTAGAAGAAAATCAGAAATAGGGATTCATGTTAGCAATGAGAATCAGTTTAGTTTTCTGAAGAGAATATAAAACAGTAATGCATCCTACAGAAGAGAATCAGAATGATGGTGAAGAGAATCAGAGACAGTAATTTAGAGAGAATGAATAACAATGCTGCATGCTAGAGAAGAGGATAAACAACAGTGCTGCCTGATGGAGAAGAGGATCAATAACAGTGCTGCATGCTGGAGAAGAGGATCAATAACAGTGCTGCATGCTAAAGAAGACGAGCAATAACAGTGCTGCATGCTAGAGAAGAGGATCAATAACAGTGCTGAATGCTAGAGAAGAGGATCAATAACAGTGCTGCATACTAGAGAAGAGGATCAATAACAGTGCTGCATGCTAGAGAAGAGGATCAATAACAGTGCTGTATGCTAGAGAAGAGGATCAAAAACAGTGCTGTATGCTAGAGAACAAAATCAATAACAGTGCTGCATGCTAGAGAAGAGGATAAATAACAATACTGCATGCTAGAGAAGAGGATAAATAACAGTGCTGCATGCAAATTTAAAACAACAAGAGGTATTTAAGTGCCACTCCCATAGAATGTACAGTAAGCTAGAAAGTTATGTTTACCTCAATATAGGTAACATAATTATCATCAAGTATCTTGCGACAAGCGTGGGTTATCATGCCTCTCCAGAACTTCCTCATCATGTATCAGTTCATGTTATGACAACCCTACATGCAATGACAAAAAGCTCTCAAAATTCTTCTTTATTTATTTTCTCAGTGATCTCCTGAATGATCGCATGCTGCTGTTTCCTTCTTATCATGGCATGACGCAACATGATAACCGTCTCCTACTGATGTTTGTAGTAAGTCATCGTCAGGTCCCGGTCTTGTTGAAATACACTTACATATTTTTATGTTTAACTGGGATGTTAGAAACAAGTGGTAGCACTATTGGGAAAGCCGGACAGGACTACTGACCAAGAATCGTCTTCTTCTTCCTCTTCTTTAGCAATTGTGTTCTGCAATTTCGCATACAATTAATATATTATCTATTGTTAAGTTGTTGTGTCGGAAACCCGCACGGTAATCACTAAATCGCCGAATTATTTCGATGTACGATTTTAGCCTGATTAGCAGTGCCGCCAAAAGTATCGTACAGCTTGTAGATAATGATTATACTCCTCTATAGTTTTGACATTCATACTTGTCTCCTTTACTTAAAATGGGTATTTAAAATAACTTTTTCCACTCATGGGGTAATTTCTCCGTCTTCCAACTAGTTGTATTCATTTATATATCTTTAATTCTAATAAATGACCACATTCGCTAAAAAGTTCAGCTGCAATTTCATTAGCACTAGGTGCTTTTTTGTTTAAGCTGTGTTATGACATACAGTACTTACTCAAAAGCAGGCTCTTCAATATTTGTTCACATGATAGTATCTCTTTCTGTGAATAAGTATTTAGTGGAGTGTCGCAATAAAAAAAAAAAAATCATCAAATTTCTCCTTCTATCTGTTACATATTTACTCATTATTATTTATCATTTTCCCCATTCTTGTCTTTTAAACTATATATGCTGTGTTGAAGCCCTTATTTTACAGCCTTTCG